CATATCCCATATGCCAGACATAGATCCCATCATATTCCCACGCATTCTGGACCTATTTCCGGACCCCATATCTGACTCATTCCCAGATCCCCTTCCACTGTGTGCTCCATATCTAAGCAGGATTAGATCTGCTATGGAATTACCCCTGAGCTCTGGACCTCCAGATCTTTACTACTAGCCTGATCCATACACCCACCCTATGCACATTCTGTCCAGCAATACATCTGGACTACATCCACCACCTCACATATCTCAGTCCTGTTTCCACCCTGCCTTTCAGATCCCCAGATCTCCAGACCTCCAGATATTAACTGTTACTATCTCCAGACCTATTCCCACCCTCTGTCCGAGATCCTGCACCTATCCCCATTTAGGCATCTCTGCCTTTCTGGTGTGGATAACACAACTTGGCTAGATAGTTGTTAGAATACTTAGCCAATATATGTCTACTAATCCTGCCTAGCTGCTACACTTGCAAGCAAGAATGTTTGACCTGAGGGATCTGCTGTCTAGTCAAGTCCAATAATTAGTACTATGCAAAGGGTCAAAAGTCCGAAGGTCAGAGATCAAGTCTGAAGGTATGGGATGAAGTCTGATGCATGGGAAATCAGGTCCACAGGTACGGAGATGTGGAGATGGCAGGAAAGTAAGGAAAAGGGAGGGAATGTGTCAGGACTAGCTTGGAGATGCTAGGGAATGTCAGATGAATGAGTGACACTCGTGTTGGGTCAAGGAGAGTGGGTAAACAGGTATATTGGCAAGGGTAACTCTAAGGACAGGTATGTGGTGACCAGTATCAGGGATTTCTCCCTCCTACTAAGTGGTGGTTGTAATTCTGGTTGCCCAACCATATATAACTAGCTACATGAAAATCCAGAGTCCATAGGTGAAAGCAGTAGCAAAAATGTGGGTCTGATGATATGTAGGTAAAAGGCCATGAGGTACTGCAGCCAGTGGGAATCCATGTAATAATGCTGTCTACTCAATCAGTAATAGGAAATAACTGACTATGCACCAGTGGGGTTAAGCAGGACTAGACTGGACATGGTAGGATGAGTGTGCAGGATCTCCAAGTGGGTCTGATGTGTTGGAGATGCAGAGATGGCAGGAAAACGTCAGAGATTGGTAGGAGATGTGTGGACTGGCTAGGGATTGCAGAATGGGGTCCTAGCAGGCCAGCCTGAACATGATCATCACACTGGTTCTTGGTTATCTCTGTTTCTGTCTTGCTGATTGACCCTTGTATGAGTCTTCATCTCCGAGTTCATGTAGTTATGTTCTGTCTTACTTACCAATGTGTTTCCACATGCTCATACATAGCCTTACTCCATTGCTTACTGATCCTCTCAGATATCCTCTAGTATATAACCCCTGTACAACTCCTGTAGAGTCCTCAGTCTGAATATCATCTTAGATCTGTCCTCACCACCTTAGATCTGCCCAATCATCTTCTGGACTTCAGTCCATCTGAGTCTCATCTTTTTCCACAAGGCCTAGGAATGGTTTCCCTAGGCCGGAATTCCGGACCTTTGGATTTGTCCCCTATGTCTCTGTCCCAAGTCTAGGGATTGCTTCCCTAGGCTGGAGTCTTGCCTTTCTGGCACTTACCCTCTCTCCAGACTTAGTCCACTTCCTGTCTCTCTGACTCTACCTAAGGGTAGTCTACCTCTGTTTGCTTCTACATTGGACAAAGTCTGATGTAGCCCCTATTCCTTCTGGACCCCTGGACATCCTGTCCTGTGCACCTCCAGGTGTCCTGTCCTTTGGATGTTCTGCCCTCCATACCTTTGGACATCCCACCCTCCTAACCCTTGGACATCCTGTCCTCTGGACCTCTGGATCTCTGGACCTTCAGTCCTCCTGTCCTCCATACTCCAGACCTCCAGACCTCCTATCGTTCCATCCTGTTTCCTGTAGAAGTATTACCTTGCAGTGGAAACTGTCCTGAGCACTTCCTGCATTCCTCCAGAACTCTCCTGCACTCCTCTGGACATTTCCTGTGCTCCTCTGGAAGTCCTTCAGACTTCATCAGACCTTCATCAGACTTCCTCTGAAATGAAGGGCACATACTTGGGTAAGGGGCACAGCATATGAGCTGAGGCCAAGCCCCTCCAAGTCAGTCTCTCTCTCCCTTGAGCATGGTTCTTAATAGTGAGTTGAAATATGCATGATCTATGCCTGGAGGAATCTCATTCTCTACAATAATCAGTTGCTCTCTCAATGTGTCACAACCTGCTATTGGGGTGCAGAGGTGGCATGTGGGTATTTGGATGAGGCATTCAGGGTGAGTGAATATTTGGAAACATTCAGATAAGTGGTTCTTTGATGTGACAGAGGGGTCAAAAAGGATTTTCCCCCATTGGTGAGTCCTCATCTGTGCATTCTTCTTGAGTCTTCTATGTGTTAGGGTTAAATAGTGGGTTTATGTTGTTTAGGATGTGTTGTGTGGTCTGGGTGCATCTATTTTGGTTCTTGCAACCTACTAGTCTGTTCTTGACACAGGCATCATGGATGCATGTTACCATTGTAGAGTGAGTGCCAGCATTTGTCAGTCTTGCTGCTGTTGCATGGAGGTCTTTTATTGATTCAACTTTGTGTGTAGATCTTAAGCAACTGTCCTTCGCCTTGTGGTATGTTTTTGGTGGGGTGCCAAGGTGGCATCATACAGGCATCTGGAGCTTAAGTTGTTCTGATAGTTTTACAGGTAAAGCTTACTTTATATTTGTGTGCTGTTTTTAACATGTTTGTTATTAATTTTGGTAACCAGCTAGCTCTTTGGCCCTGAATGGGCAGGCCCCAGGAGGTAAGGAGCAAGTTTATGTTGGTTTGGTCTCTGATACTGCTGTGACAGTCAAGTTTTCTTTGGGCTTAGATTTACTTACTTTCATTACCTTTACCTACCCCCACTTTCTTTAGCTTATGTTTGCATTTTGGCAGCTTATATAAGCATCACCTCTTACCTTTCACTCTTTACCTGTAGTCTGAGACTAGCAGTTTTATGATGATTTCTTCTCCTTTCTGAGCTCTGAGTCTAGTACAGAAACCCTTGTGGGTTGAATAGCAGCTAGGTACAGCACTTTAGACCCAACATATTGGCTAGGTACTTTACCAAGTATCTAGCCAAGTTGTGTTACTCACACTGCTGTCCTACTACTTAAGGGTCTTATGTACAGTGGCTCAAAAAATCGCTCGCATGTTTTGACATTTTTCACTATCTATGATATTGTGTGAGAATGAACAAATGCATCAAGGACATGCTTATACCACATTGTAGTATGGCTTCAGGGCTTTCATTTGAGCCCTACATAGTGGGAATCAGTGGAGATATGGTGGAGACATAAGGCTTATAAAATGATGACTCATGTGGACAGTTTTTTGAGTATATATTAAAACTATATAAATCATTATTTATGACACCACAAAAATCATGCCACTATTATATAATTTATGAAGTGGTGTCATTATGTTATTTTATGACTATATCTAACTATATAAACCAGAATATCTCATGTATCATAGTCATAATCACCATGAAAGCCATCTCCCCTGCTCAAAGAGATAATATCCTCTCTCTGTCTTATGCTGGCCTCTCTGCTCACCAAATTTCCTCTAGAACTGGAGTATGCAAGTCCACTGTGGCCAAGTTTATCAAAGAAAGCCACCCAGACAAGGAAAACTCTTGTGGAGGACATCCATCCAAGCTTACCTCTACTGACAAAAGGGCTATCATCCAACATATCACTACAGGAAAGGCTGATAATGCTGTCCAAGCCACCCATTATATCAATTCCACCATCACTACCCCTGTCTCTTCACAAACTGTGAGGAATGTTCTCAAGGCAGCTCATCTCAAGGCAGTAACAAAGAAGAAAAAGCCTCTTCTCTCCATCAAACATAGGCAGAGAAGACTAGCCTTTGCCTTAGCTCATCAACACTGGACTGTAGAGGACTGGAAGCATGTTATATGGTCAGATGAGACCAAAATCAATAGGATTGGGTCAGATGGGAAGGTATATGTATGGAAAAAGAAGGGAGATGGCCTAACAGACAGAGAGGTTAGTGGGACTGTCAAGTTTGGAGGAGGTTCTTTAATGGTATGGGGCTGTATGGGATGGAATGATGTGGGAATGCTTGCTGAGGTTAAGGGGAAGATGAATGCTGAGCAGTATGTGGACATTTTAAATGACCACTTGCTGCCTAGCTTGGCAGAATCAGGGATTGATGAAGAAGATATCATTTTCCAACAGGATAATGATCCCAAGCACACATCCAGAAGAGCTAAGGAATGGTTTGAAGAACATAACATCAATGTTCTTGACTGGCCAGCACAGTCTCCTGATGTCAATGTCATTGAACATCTCTGGGGAACACTCAAGAAAAAGCTTCAAGCCTATGAAAACCCCCCTAAAGGAGTATGGGAGCTTTGGGAGAGAGTAGCAGTGGAATGGGGGAAGATCACAGCTGAGGATTGCCAGAAATTAATTGAGAGTATGCCTAGAAGGATAGAGGCAGTGATTAAAGCCAAGGGAGGTCATACAAAATACTAGAATACCTGGTTATTATTGTAAAATACTTGAGTCAAAAAACTGTCCGCATGAGTCACCATTTTGTGAGCCTTGTATTTCAACCATATCTCCACCGATTCCCACGGTGTAGGGCTCAAATGAAAGCCCTGAAGCCATACTACAATGTGGTATAAGCATGTCCTTGACGCATTTGTTCGTTCTCACACAATATCATAGATAGTGAAAAATGTCAAAACATGTGGACAGTTTTTTGAGCCACTGTACACTACTAACTAAAGATTAAACTTATTAAACTGGACAAAAATGCGAAAATCTAAGGTCAAAAGAAGAATCAAAGGAGAAAAGGAGGGGGGAGGAGAGACTCACTAAGAAGATTCACCAAATAGTTAAACATGCGAAAATTGTTGGGGAGAAGGAGGTAAGAGAGCTAGAAGGAGAGGATCAGAGAGGGAAGGAGAAGAAGAGAGACTCACCAAAGAAGCACAAGTGCGAAAATTAAAGGGAGGAGGAAGGAAGAGAGCTAGAAGGAGGGGTCAGAGAGAAGGAGAAGAAGAGAGAGAGAGACTTACCAAAGAGGCAAAAATGCGAAACTTAGAGGAGGAAGAGGAAGGGAGATAGCTATAAAGAGGGAACTCACCAGACAGGAGGAGGAAGACAATGTCAGAGAGTTGAACACAAAGAAAGACAAAAAGACTCACCAGAGTTCAAAACACCAGTACCAGTACCAGTACCACCTACCTCCAACATCAACATCAACATCAAAGAAGAAGAGAAGAGAGGCAAACACTTGAAAATTGTTAGTGAAAGACAGTAAGTGACACACAGGTGGTTTCGTAGTTTTTGACTGTGCAAGATTGGTTTCAAAATGTCAGTGATAAAGTTGGTGTTTTTACCATATATTTTGACCCAGTAAAGATCAAAAATTTCGACATGTGCCAAAATCCCAAGCATTTCATGTACCATTTTGAGTGCCATAAATTACAAAGTTTTGAGCACAGGAAAGTTTTCCTCAGAATATCATGTAACTAGGGACATTTTCTGATTGCAGCATATTCAAATTTTTTGCAAGTTAAAATGGGGTATGTAAAATGTGAACTTTTAACATGAGAAAAATGATGTGGGCACTCATTGGGTGCTCATCAGCACTTGTTCATGTCAAGTGCTCATCAGGCATTCACATTTGTCAGTGGAAATGCACTATAATGTAAACTCATGAACAACTGGAATATGGTAGTACCTAGCAGGAAGTTACATGGTGAGGTCAAGTAAGGGATGTAAGTGCATCCAGGTCAGCTATCGAGCTGAGGTCATCACCATCATTGTCCGCATCATTGTCCACACAATCTAACCTATGCCACTTGCCAGATGGTGTGACTTCTACCCCTGAGGAAAATAATGACTGGGACTTCGTGACCAAGACTGGTTTGCACTTCTCTTCTGACTTGAGTTTTTGTGGAATGGCAGAGTCTGCGACAGGCCAACCGGATAAATCAAGGTGGTTATTGAAAATGCCTATCATGGCATCGTGTGAGCCCAGGACCTTCATGGCTATCTCCTTCTGGTAAACAGGGGAGTCTGTCATGAGCACATGTGAAGCTGTTAACAAATCTTGTATGACAGGGACTTCTCACATTGCTTTCTTGTATGTGAGCCAGAATTTATTAAATACCGTCTGCTGATGCTCAGTGATCCGCATGTACCAATGTGAGAAGAACTCAGTGAGTGCATGGATGAGACTGTCAAGCGGTTTGCAGTCAACATAAATAAGGTTGGGAAGATTGCTTCTCCCAATGAGCCAATTTGCTTTTGAGGATGATCTGGGATTGGTTTTGAAGACCTGTGTTATGAGTGATGTCCAGCGAATGATGTCCATGTACGTCTCTGCCCTCAGCATTAGGGACATTGACTTTGAACATACAAATGGTGCTGGGGATATTTAGCTATGACCTTGCGAGGTCGGCCTCCTCATCACCAGCAAGCATGATGGAAGTATCGACACCACACATTTCAGGTGATGCCCATGAGTAACGATGGAAAAAATCAGCCAAGTCTGGCTTGTTATTGTAGTCAATGGCACTGGTGATGATAGCCCCCTCCCTATCCCATCTGATGATCCAAGCACAACCACACATGATGAGGACAGAGAATACATGGGTATGGAACTGGGTGTTGAGCTGAGCTGCAGAATAACACATTATTTGTCCCAGGGTGTCCATACCCTTCTCTGTCTGGGACATGAGGGTATCAGCTCCAGGGTGACAGAATGCATTGTGGGAGGGTGACCATTTGAATTCTATGATAATTTCTGTGGCAGAAACATCACAGTTGGGAGATGAAGGTTTGCATCCATTGGGATACATGCAGACGTCCAGCTTGATGTTGAATACCATTGAATTTAATTTCGAATAGTTTTTCATGTCTTTGTGTTTGTGAGTGTCAACAAACAACAGTTGAGGAGCAAAAGGTGTGATGGTGTTAATCTGGGGTTAGGCGATCAATAATCTCACTAACATATGTACATGGGTATACTCACAAAGGGTGTGTAAGCCTGTTCCTTATTTCGAACAGAGACTGTGTTGTTGAATGCACCAATAGCGAAGGCTGAAGTGAAGGATGAAGGATCATAGTTGGGAATTTGGAAGGTTGGAAAGAATTCCTGGAGAAAGTCCCCAGCTGGCATCAGGCCAATGAAGTAACCTTTCATCTCTTTACCCATAGCATTGATAGTTTCGAGCCAGCATCATGTAAGTGTTGTGAATGGCAGCATGGTGGAACTGTCCCGCTTGATAGGTGTATCTATGATGTCATTTGGACCTAGATAGGGGCCATCCACAATAGGATGTGTAACTGGTTCTATGGTAGAGTTACCTTCGACAGGCACTGCAACATTCATGGTAGGTAAGATGTACAGGGTATATGTGTGACAATGTGTATAGGATATGTGGATATGTATGTACAGATAGCTAATGGCAATAATGGATGATATATTCCAAAGAGGGAAGAAGGGAAAAAGATACAAATTCTACATTTGGAGCCTTTTATAGTGAATGACTCAGACTCAGTCCAGATCTTCCCAGATCCAGAACCCCACTGCAAGCAGGTGAATCTGCATTTTGAAATTCAGTCCTATACATTGTGAGATTTGACATGTGAAAAATGGGGAGGGACATACTTGACACAAGGACACAGCAACAATGTGCTGTGGAGAAAATTTCCATCATGCAAAGTGTGATACCACCCACTCAGGCTTGCCAGTTTTGAGATGATTGACAAGCACTGTAGAATATAAACAAGCTGGAAAGTAAGGATAGTGTCTGAAAGGATTGGGGTGAGAATGCAAAGGGAGGTAATGGCATATGGCAAAGCCCACTACTCGCTCCATCCCAAAAATGTACTTGATGATCCCTGGTGTTGGGGGCACATTCCTGATACTGCCATGATAATAGAGGATGAGGCTGTTGCCTACATGGGTGGAGTCACAGGTATAGATGGATCCCTCATGGAGTGTGCAAGCATGCAAGATTGCCTGCCGAACTTGGATGAGTTGATGGAGGTCATCTGGAATGACTTGTTGTGTAAGGGGATGATCTTTGGACACAGAAATAGGATCAGCATCAACTAAAGGAGATACGAGTCTGTTGAATAGAGACTTCACCTCCCTAAACATGAGAGGACAAGAAGGTTGGTTTAGCCAATACTTAAGCTTTGCAGCCTTCATGTATGAGTGAAGGAGAGTGAATTCTTGCTGACCTGTGTGAGGCAGCATAAGTCCATTGTTGACACAGAAGTTAGAATCATACTGAAAATGTGATTGTTGGGCAACCATTGCAGCTGCCTGATGAGATGCTCATATGGGAAGCATCACCATGACCTTACCAGACTGAGGAGCTGCAAGTAGTCCCAGATATGCAACACCATATGGCCATTTGTGCGATGGGGTGCACGTGGAAGCAACACCTGCAGGTCCCTCATCCAGTCAATAATGCATCCATGGTGTGCTTCTACTTGAGCCATCATCATAGATTGTTGACACATGATGTGGATGGCAGATATGAGGGCCATTGTATGATCAAGGATCACATGACGACTGACTGCGATTTCTGACATGTGGTGAGTAGATCCCTCGCCCCACAAGCTAACCAGGGCTATGGGTAAGTATAATGTCATTAACATGCACCATTCATTGGCCTTCAGGGTTCTAGCTTTTGTTTCCCTGAAGTTATGGGGGACTGATCTTATTGAGGATGGCATATCCATTGTCCTAATCACATCAGTAATGTGTCACATGACCTCTGGGGTAGCAATGCGCAAGTTTGACAGCTCAGGTGCGAAAGGTTGAGTTCGATGCTACACAGAGGCAGCTTAAGAGCATATGATAACACCAACAAATAAAATACTCACCCAACTGATGAGCAATCTAACCCAATAGATTTTGAAGACTTTTTTGCCAGCATGAGGGATGTCTGGTGTGATGCCCAATCCTTCCGACACAAACTGAAGGGATGCAACTGTCTTGTTCAACAATTTTCTCTCTAATTGTGTGAGGTGATCCTTGATAAGCTGTGGGTCATTCCCTTCAAGGTTGGGGACTGCTTCAGTAAGGAGACTCTGAATTGATTTGACAACTCTGATGTCTTTTTCTGGGAAGTCTTGAGGTTTGTTGAGGTCAACGTCAAGGAAGAGATAAGTAAAAGCAGGGATAACATCAGGCTTGCTATGTGTGGAATCAGATGTGAGACCTAAAAATTCGCAAAAATGAGCATACACAAGACCCTCCAGCAGGCAATGCATGGCATCCACAATGATTTGACAAGAAGGATCCCAGTATTGTAACCTCCAGAGTGTTGACCACTGCACCCCATGTGATGTGAACAACTTGTTGCATTCAGCAGAAGTTCTTGCATTCTTCCAGAGTTCAGCATGGGGACACACTTCATCCTTGTCCTGAAGTCTCCAATCTTCAGACTGAACATCTGTTCAACTGCAAGTTGATCTGTGCCAACAATGGCAGGCAGTACAAAAAAAATGGCTCATTGGACCTGCTAGCTGAGTGGCCTTTCTCGCCACCAGGAGGTCACATACTAGACATGCTATGGCACTATGTGTAACCCAGCCATGAGCATTGAGAGCTGTGCAGCTATAATGTATTCCATGTTCCCAACTTTCAACCATATCATCAACCACAGGATCGAGGAAGAAATTCAACTTGTCTCCTGAAGGTTCTGAAGGTCCAGGGATAATACCAGCTAAGTACATGTTCTCATGTTTGTACCAGATATTGAGGGGGAGGTTCAAACATGCACATGAAATGATGCCAGTGGATGTTGACATGTTTCATTGATGATTGCCTTCAACATTGAAAAAATCAATGTTGAGTGTGAAAGCATATCAGCCTTCATCGCCTCTGTCAATAAATAGAGACTGGCTGGACAGACCCTGGAAAGTGCAAAAGAAACTTGCATCCCAAATGTCCTTGATGATATGTGGTGTAGTCCCAATGGAGGCTAGTAAATCATCACAAGGCCTGTCCATCAAGGCCTCCAAGTCAGGACGAGACAACAATCCGGCAAGGTAGTCATGGAAGTGGCGACAAAGGAATGTTTTTATTGGCTTGAATTGCCTGTTAGCAGAGCACTGCAGCAACGGTTCACCACAAGGACCACCTTCTGGTATGGGTTTGTTGAAACAATTCATGGGATATTGTGTGTTACTTGTGTTGAGGTTGGTCATTGGCTTGTAAGTACAATTGCATGCCAGACATACTGCGTAAGTAGTGGTCTGGCCATCAAGCTTGAAGCATGAAAGTGTGCTTTCCATAGATTGTGGAATCTGAGCAAGAGTGTTTTGCCAATGAGACTTGGAATGAGGGTCCTGTGCATCCATCACAAGACTCAAAATTAAGGAAAGAACTCCCATGAGAAACTCCCTGTGTCTGCGACCAATACCAAAGATGACAACAGAAACTGCCCCTAAAAAGAGGGATAGATGGGCAACCTCATCACAGTAGTCAATTGGCAAATCATAATGATGTGCTTCATAGAACATTAGTTGGAGGAACATAGGGAGGAAATGAATGGAACTCACAAGAATCAAACTTGACTGGTTGAGATGACACAGGAAGGTCATTTTCCTTGTTGGTGAGCAGTCTATGCATTTCATCGCATGAGGCTTCCAGCTGGCTTCTACAAGAAACAATGGAGGAGACCTTGTGTTTGACTTTTCTGAGGGTTGTAGTTATTCCACCTAGCTCATCTTGTATGAGACATAGTACATCGTGAGAAGTTGTGGAGAAAATTCGAGTACAAGCTCTAGCAATCTGTGACTCTACAATGTTCAAAGTTACTTGGGCCCTTGACTGGCGCTGCACTTTGACAGCCTGGAGAGCACAGGCAATATGTCTAAGAAACAACCAAATTAGAGGGCTGTCATATGCCATTCTGGACTCTCAACTCTCAACTCTAAATCTGCTTCTCTGGATATCTGGATCCGAGATCCGGATCTCAAATGATCTGATCTATCTTTATCTTCCTTCTGGAATCCAACCCCATTTAGACTTCCCCTGTCTCCAGACTCCAGTTAACCATGTTTCCCTTCTGATTATTGATCCATTACATACATTTCATTTCCAGTGTTCATTATTTGTGATCCATCCTACTTACTAATAGACTTTGCATATGCTTTGTACATAGCCTTTATGTTTGCTGATTGATCCCTATATGATACCTACAGTATATAAACCTCCTGTAGCTCTCAGAAATACTCCAGTTCAAATATCATCTTAGTTCCTGCTCATTCCTGTGTCCTCTGGACTCAAGATAAGTCTCTTGTCATATTCTGAGTCTTAGGATTGCATCCTAGACTACATTTCCGACTCTACCTTAAGGTAGTCTATCCTCTGTTAGTTTCTAGTCCAGATTTCATCTGGATTAGTCTTATCCACTTGCCCAGGTAACATCCAGACATCTGTCGGATTTATCTCACATTTTAGATCCGGACGTCCATTATCCACCCTAGTCAAATCCCGGAAACTCTGGACAACTGCTCTAGCCCCTGGAAATTAAGGGCACATACTCAGGAAAGGGGCTCAGTATACGAGCTGAGGCCAAGCCCTTGTGATCCGACCCCCTTGAGCACATGACCTTAACAAGGGCTCGATGTAAGGTGATGTCAGATACAATGCTTACTGCATATCATTGAGAGTGAGTCCAGACACCAGATTAGCCATAGCATCCAGAGAGTAGCTTTTTCCCTTATCCCATTGAACCTCTGATTGGGAGACCCAGAGTTTGCTATGACTATCTGGGTCGCCCTCGATGTCACTTAGGGTGATCGCAAATAGTTCAGCAGCAAGATCATCCACTGGTGTTGATGTTGTGGGTGAATGTGTTGGGTGAGCTAAAGGTTGGGAGGATGACACTTGATGATCTGTGAAGTGACACGAATTGTTGGGCTCTAAGGTCTGATGAGCAAGATGAAGCACAGAAGCTTCATGAAGTGAGGAAGTGATGTTGGCAGCTTGCAACAAATGCACATACTTCATTGCAACAGGCAGTTGTTTGCTGCCAGGATTACTAGGCACTCCATCACCACCAACTTTGCAGCATTGGGTACATTTGCAAAGGAATATTTGGCTAGGCATCTAACAAACTTCAATGGACAACTGGCTTTGCTGGTCTTGTGGGATATTTGAGAATGATGATAGGGAAAGTAATTAGCACTGATCATCAAGTCGGCAGAGGTACTTACAGGGGGGCTGAATCCAAAATTTGATATGCGGTTGCTGTTTGCACATAATGGACTAACTTTTCATTTTAATCAAGTTCATCCTGTCAAGGGAACAATGCACCACATCTTGAATGCTCAATGTAAATAAGAACATCACGATAAGTATATAAGTACATAGTAGCACTATATTTAAGTACATGAGTATGAGCTTGGAATCCATGTAAGTGTAGGGTATTAACAGTAAGACAATAGGAAAGAGGTACAGCACTGAGAGAACATACCTAATATAGTAAATGACTACATAATCAAGCTCTGCCAGAATTTGGCACCCAGTGCCCACTGGGAATTTTTGGTGGGCATTGGGCAGGAGCTGGTGCATTGAAAATATGTCAGTCAATTTGCAAAGTAGGATTCTATGTATGGAGCTAAATGCCCATGAATGCAATTTGCATTAACACTATATGCTCCCTTTTGGATGGAATATATAGCATGGAATATATAGCAGTACAGCAGGACACATCATTGTAAGTATCAGTAAGTATCATACATGCAAATGCAGCCTTTGAATATTTTATTTTGAGGAGATGGACAAGCTAGGCAGGCATGTAACAAACCATAAATTACAAGGAATCTTCAGTATGCAGTTTCACAGACAGTTTGACATCAGCAGCAGCAAATTTGCGCATCTTGTGGACAAGATACTCAGCAGTGAGGTTGGAATAGCCTTGCATGCTAACGTGTTTGACTCGAGGAAAGGCTTCAATCCATGAAGCAGATAACTCCTAGAGCTACAGTTATTAGGTATTGAAATAGCACTTAACAAACATGTACCAATGCATCTCCTGCCAAAGTGGAGCATGAGCCTGCAACGTCCAAAAAAATCCCCAAGTGTTTAACATGAATTGCTGAATGGGAATGACTCTGTGGAGGCAGGGAAAGGTCAAGGTAACCAATGCTATTGCAATAGCCAACACATTGAAGGATGGCAGTAAG